CGCTGGTTCCTCGGGGACAGAGAGGGGGACGAAGTCGGTTGATCAGTGCTGGGCCTGCTGCTCCGACTCCCCGACACCCTTTCACGAGGGTGTGTAGTGTCAGGACAAGGGAGAGCGGCTCTAAACTGAAAGAGGGCAGATTTAGATTAGATATCAGGAAGAAATTCTTCACCATGAGGGGGGGGAGGCACTGGAACAGGTTGCCCGGAGAAGCTGTGGCTGCCCCCTCCCCTTCAAGGCCAGGTTGGATGGAGCTCTGAGCAACCTGGTGTAGCGGAAGATGTCCCTGCCCATGGCAGGGGGGTTGGAACCAGATGATCTTTGAGGTCCCTTCCAACCCAAACCATTCTATGATTCTATGAGTTTGCAGTGTGGCGCTGGGGAGAGGAGGGGAGGGTGGCAGCTTGCTGCTTGTGCCGAGACTGTTCTTGCAGGGAGAGGGCTGTGCCGAAACCCTGGCTGAGAGTAGGAGAACAAGTCTTGGCTCTGTGCAAAAGTACACGCCGAAATGGGCTTTTGAAATCGTGTGATTTAATCTGAGAGTAAATTCATCAGCTTCAGCTCAACTGATACGAGATTCTTTACCACATCTGCTATGTGGCGCTGACTTCTGAACCTAGCAGGAGGAGAGTCAGGGCACGGAAACACTGGATTCGGAGACCAGCCAGCCTTGTTGCTAAGGAGATGGCTGTTGTTAACATGCTGGAAGTAGGTTCAGGCTAACAGGCGAGGCTATAGCAGCACAAACTCTCTCTGTGGAGGAAAAAGTGCACGTAATGTGTTGCATGTGCAAAAGCTTCCTCCTTTTCTATAAAAGACTCTTAGAAACCAGAAGAATCGGTGAGCTTGAGCTGTGTTACTGAACTGCAGAAGCCCTCAAATTAGCTGCTTAATTTTATACTGCACAGCTCACAAACAGCGATTGAATGGTCAAGCCCGTTTCTCTTGCTCCTTGCAGCCATATCTTTCATTGGGCTGTTAGGTGCATGCTTAGTACGTTAAACCAGGAAAGCAGTGCTGAGACGCTTGGTCTGAGGTGAAGGAATAGCGAGCCCTTGGTGCGGTAAACTTGTTGATCCAAGTTTGTATTAAGTGATGCTAAGTCAGTGTTAATGTAGTGGCTTTAAGTGTTGTCTCTGATACATTATCCTGTTGTCTATTGCTTTCTCATTTCTGATGCATCACTTATACTTACTCATTTCACAGTTTGCTTTTGTACACAAAGTTAGATTGAAGTCAGTCAGAAAACTTATGATATCAAGACTCCTTTTTGTCCATCAAGTGCATTGAATTGTATTCTGAACCCAGAACACCTCAGTTCTGTTGACAGAGGTGCTAGTGGTCTTTTGGTGTTAATTTCCTGTCACTTTTAATAACATGTCAGCACATCGTTTGGGTTAGGGGGGTGTTTCTAATTTTAGGGTCTGCTACAGATGGTTGGACTCTATGATCTCAGAGGTCTTTTCCAACCTATGATTCTATGATATTCAGTGATGTAATTTTGGTTATGTCGTGCAGTTCTGCAAGCAGGTTTGGCAGTTCTCTTGTGAGCTATCTTCTGTACGTTCTTACATGTGGGTAAGTCTTGCTGCTCAGAGGCTCCGGCTGCCTTTGTGTAAGCTAATGCTGTGCTGACACTCTTACTGTAGGCAGAAAAATGTAGGCACGCTCGTGTGCATGCCTGTCTGATTAGGGATGTGAAAAGCAGTGACTGCTAGCTGACAGCTGTGCTGGAAGAAGCTCTGAACCCGAGGAGTTTCTACAGTGAAACTATTTCTTCTGCTTCTGAAGGACAGCATCGTTAGTGTAATCTCTTTTAATTGTGTCCCAACGGCAAAAGGTGATCAGTATTGGTATTGTCTGCTAGGGCAGACCTAGCCAAAGAGTAATATGACAATACCCTAGTGACCATGTAACTCGTATATAATAGTCCCAAGCATGGACTGCATGGTAGAAAACTCCAAATACAAAATACCATAAGATGCTGATAGTTGAACTGAAATTAAGGAAAGTATATGAATTTGAGGGGCCTTTTCAGATTTCTATGTGACCTCATGTAAGCGAGGACAGAAGTCTGTGTTTTTAAGGTATGCAAAAATTAATGAAATTTAGACTGTATCATAAATCTCCTGGAATCTCTGTAATGCTTGCTGACCCTTGGGTTTGGAGAACTGTATGGAGGTTACTTATGGTGCAGCAGAAGAATCAAAGGATCAACTTATCTTGAAAACAGAAGGGAAAAGGATGAGTGTTCAGTTTCTTGCTGCTCTGGGATTCTTAGTCCAGGAGAATAAGCAGAGCACAGTTTATTATGGAGTGTTATTGCTGTGCTGCATTCTGGGGACTTGTCGTGTGTTGATGTCATTGGGCTGTCATGAGAGTCCCTGTCTGACCGAGTGTGGGAGAGGAACTTGGTGGTGCTCGGCCCTCCTCAGCCTGCTTCAGCTAGGTTTGCACCTGGAATGTGAAATTTATTTCTGCTCCCGGGCTCCCTTTTCCTTTCCTGCCTTACTGCCTTCTGTGTGACTAGGGTCGTTTCCACGCGTGACCAGTGTGATAACTACAGCAGGAACTGAATATGGGTACATGAATATGGGTACATGTAGACAGGAACTTGGGACTTGTGTCTTGTCATGGCAGATATACCCATGTGCTGTGACCTTCTCTGCAGAAGAAGACACAAAAATCTGCGTTGTCTTTTTTTGCTGTTGTCTCATGTTTAAAGAAGTAGGATTAGATTAATTATGGTCACAGGGGCATGTAAAGCTTAGAGGGACTTTCCTTCCCAGATTATTTTTTGTTTCAGAAGGAACAAGTAAGGTTTTGTTTTATGTCAGTTGACTTGCAACCTAACTGCTTTAGTTGATAGGAAACACGCAGCTATCATTGCTATATTGGGTTGTGATGGCTATGTTCAAGCAGTTCAAAAAAACCTCAGAGGTGTAACTTTCTACGTAAATCATAGATAGTCTTTTGTTAGTTACTTTACATTTGATGGTTCTGCTATCATGATCTGAGCTGACTTGGACATCCTGAACTATCTAGATCTAGTTTTGGTAGCCACTTTATATTTCACTTTGGAATATAAATAAAATCACTTTGTCTTCTTTCTTTTTGTTTTTTTTTAACTAGACAGTGAAATATTTTGTCCTTAAATCCAGTGCATCTCCCTTACGCTTCCCAGTGCACCAGAGGAACTACTGCTGTATTTCTCAAAATGTAGTCTATCAAGTGAGAAACAGTCAGCAGGTTCATGTTAAACAATATTTCCAGTTAAGTCAGATATAGGCATGTAGTAGCTTGCTTTCTTCTTCCTCTTCTCCTAGCTGCGGTATTTGGCAATGGTTTGTTGCTCAAAAAAGTATGAGAATGACCGTTTTATGCTATTACGGGTGCTCTGGAAGAGGGGAAGATCACAAAGAATAAAATCAAACATGTATTCAGATTGTTGTGTTGGCACACTTAAAGTCAAGGTGTGCAGGAGGTGCTCCAAGGTGAAAAGTTGTATGCTAGTGACTGGAACCTGTACATGTCCCTGTTTCCACCTGTACTTGTTGCCTAAGAATCTAGAAATCTCCCAGAGGTGAGTAACTTCAACAGTCTCCAGAGGATGTTGCAACTCAGTGCTTAAGGGCACCAATCCCCTGCAAATATGAATATGCAGAAGTGTCTAGGCCTGGGAGTGCACTTTTCTTGCTTATTTCCTTTCTGTTAATTCCTCTACTTGCAAAAATAGCAAGTAAAGCCTCTTAAGTTGGTGTGCCTACCCTATAGCTGCAGCTTTTAATGTCACTGGGTCAGCAGCCAACTCTTGTATGTCATCGACTGCGTATAAATCCATAGCTGAACCACACTCTGCTGTGATTTAGAGAGATAAGGAATGATTTTTTGAGAATGATATTTAAAAGAGAAGACCTTAGTGTAAGTGGATTAGAAAGGCTTTACAAACTATTGTTTACTCAGCAGGCTAGGCCCAGGTAACTAAGGGAGAACCATAATCCATTAAGAATGTCAGTGCCTTCTCATATTTGTGGTGGCATGTCATTGCTGACTAAAACTCCTTTCCTGATGGACCCAGTGAAGAAATCTTGTAAAGACATGAATTCACACCGGAAACAGTTCAAGAAGCTGTTGGGATCCTTGGTGATACTTGGCACAGTTACCACTAAAAACTGTGAGGGTCTGGTACTTCTAAGTCTTCCTCCAAAAGTCTTGGTGCCACTGAACTGGATAATGGTGGCTGAAGAGATGTATGTCATCTACAGCCTTCACGTCTGGCCTCTGACCTTCTTGCAAGACAAGTGTTTACAGGAAGGAAAGCTGCACAAGTTGCAGCAGAACTTCCTAGAGTTCAAAGCAACTGTGACAAACTTTTGTTTGCCATCATCTCTCTCCTTTCTTTGTTATTTAAAATCCCTGCTCCTTACAATTTGTCCTCCAGTATTTTGTAACACGCTTATCACCAACGTCATCGCTGGTAACTGAAGATGAGAGGTCTGTACCTCTGTTGAGGGGGAAGAATGTTGTGTAAGCAGGAATTACTTTTTCATCATCTTATCTGGTTACTGTAGGTCACTCTATGGAGTAATTCCTGAACCTGCACATAGCACTTCTGTTAGAAGGTTTGAACTTTTGAGCTGTACCTATGTCTATGAATACATGACTTGTATCTACTCAAAAAACTTTTTACATTCAGTTGAAAGAATTTAAAATTGCCTCTACAGATAGTGTCATCATTTGGACTTAAACCAGCCTGGGGAAGAAAAAGACATTTTAAAAATGTATTAAGGGATGGAGAGTGAAGCATCTGTCTGGGTGAGCTGGGTGGATTTGGGCGAAGTTCTTTGAAGCTTTATCCAAATGTGAAGGATAAATAGATGAGTTATCAAACAGTTGACTTTGGCTGACATGCCACATGCTTAAAATTTTACAGCAAAAGTTGTACCGAATGGATGGGCAGAGAAATCTACATAGCTCTGGTTATGCTTGTATGAGGCTGCAGATGTTACCTTCTTCTGTTGCTTTTGGTTTTCCTGGCCTGCTTTTTTACTACATTGCTGAGACAGCTTAAGAAGCAGTTAGTGCTGACTGTCAGGGGAAGGAAGGTGGACACAGTTGACTTCTTATTAACCTGTTGATGACAGCTGCTGGCTTCAGAGACTCTGAGCATGAAACTTCTGTGATGAGTGTATGGACAGCTGTTGGATGCATCCTCAGACCAGTAGTTCTGCCTTCACTCTCCTTTCTCTGTTGTATTTCTTTTACCCAGGGGAAGTGAACCATTCAGATCTGCTACAGTCTCTTGGGTTACCCCCTTCCTTGCAGCAGCAATAACCCTTTGGGGGGAGAGAGTGTTAAATCTGTTTCACTCAGTCCCTCCAGTCTGTATGGCGTTGTTAGTCAATAAGTACTCTTGGTCTTTAAGAGGAAAACTGCAAAGCAAAAGTAAAGGAAATTGGCAAACTCCCTAGCACAATGAACAAACTGAGACGTAGGACTTGCATCAGGGCAGAACTGTTAATTCACATCAAAATTGAGCTCCTGGAGGTGGCAGTAAGCTGACTTTTTTTATCCTTAAACTCAACTACTACTCTTTCTCAAGCACTCTCATTTGAAACTGTAAGCCGTGGGTTAGCTGACTAACCAGTGTTTTTCACCTAGGCCTAAGTAAAATTGCGAGGTGCAGTTGAAGTTTCACACACCTCTGCAAAGGCTGCCATGCAGGCCGAGCTAGTGCTGCTTCAGAGGCTTTTTAGAGCAGAGCAGTTTAGAAGGACGTGTTTAGGTGCCAACTTTCAAAAAAGCTGTAAGTTCCGGAAACTTTTAACTTCTGCCTCCTAAGAGAAGTAACTGTTCTTCTGTACCCTGTTTTGAAGGCAGTAAGCCTGTCTCCCAGGGTTATTAAACAAAAAAAAAAACAACAAACCAACATATATGTATATACACACACATAAATGTTCTAGGGGATGCCTGGGAAGAATGTGTCCAAAAGCAGTTTTAATACTTATTTATATTCATATTCTCTCATACTTGAGAATATATCTTATATATGGATCAAATATGTAACATCACATGAGACTTCAGACCTTGGAGGGTTAGAATCCGGATCATACTGTGTCCACAGAATGTTCGGGGTTGGAAGGGACCTCTATGGGTCGTCAAGTCCAACCCTCCTGCCGAAGCAGGGTCACCTACAGCAGGCTGCAGAGGACCTTGTCCAGGTGGGTCTTGAATATCTCCAGAGAAGGAGACTCCACGGCCTCCCTGGGCAGCCTGTTCCAGTGCTC